GAAGTTCCCCAGAACTGGTGAACAGCTAATATTGTACTTATCTATTAGAGCTAGGGAAGAATCTGGAAACTATAGATCTGTGAGCTTAGCATCTATAGTAGTGAAGTTACTGGAATCACTCCTGAAAAAAAGGATTAACAAACATTTAAAAGCACACAACTTGATGGACCCAAAACAGCATGGCTTTGCTGAGAGTGATCATGTTAAAGTAATCTGACTGACTTCTTTAAGTCACAAATGTTTGGATGAAAATGGTGCTGTGGACATAGCCTATCTGGACTGTAGCAAAGCATTTGATACAGTTCCACATAATAAGCTCATAAAATGTTGTACAGGCTAGAGCAGGGGTCTAGCTCCGGAGCCGCATGCGGCTCTTTGGGCCCTCTGCTGTGGCTCCCTGTCAGGTGATCCCATCACTGGATGGCCCCACCCCTCGCCCTCCCCTCCCAGTCACTCCTTGCCTGGCCTGAGAAGGTAAGGGTGACAGTGGGGGATGGAGAAGCGACCAGGGCAGAGATAGGGAGATACAGAGAGAGGGGGAGAGAGAAATATAGAGAGAGAGGGAGGGAGGGGAGGAGAGAGGGAGGGAGGGGAGAGAGAGAGATGTCAAAAGGATTTTGTGGTTCCCGGTGTCTTTTAACAACTGGTTCTCTATCCTAATGACTAGCTGGGTAGGCGTGGCTGGGGTGGTGTCATGTGACTGGTGGAAGTAAGTGACGTGAGTTGGCCACGCCCACCCAGGTTTTGTGGCTCCCAGTGTTTTCTTTTCTGTGGGAAATGGGTCCAAATGGCTCTTTGAGTATTTAAGGTTGCAGAGCCCTGGGCTAGGGCTTACCCACTGGGTGATTCAGTGGGTAGGAAGTTGGCTGAGGGATAGATCCCAGTGTGTGATTATTAATGGGGCACTGTCTGAATAGAGACCAGTCATAAGCGGCGAACCACAAGGCTCAGCCATAGGTCCTGTTCTGTTCAATGTGTTTGTAAGGGATATAACAGAAGGATTGTTAGGTAAGGTTTGTCTTCTTGCTGATGACACAAAGTGAGTAATAGAGTTGATGTTCCTTTGGGGTATTCGTAATGTGGAAAATGACTTGGCATTGCTGGAACATTGGTCAAGAATGTGGAAACTGCAGTTCGATGTTTTTTAAATGTAAGAACATGCACTTAGGGAAAACCAATCCTCCGGCATGGTATAGCATTGTGGATACAGTGTTGTTAGACAGAACAATAGAAGAAAAGGATTTAGGTATGCTCATAGAAGATGACTATAAAATGAATAAACAGTGTGGCCAGGCAGCTGTGAAGGCAAACAAAATTATGGGATGCATCACTAGAGGGATATGCCGCCCAACTCTCCAAGGACTCTGGGCGGCTTACAACAAAGACAATATGAACAATATACAATATAGGGCTTTAGTCAGACCTCATTTGAAATACTGTGTCCAGTTCTGGAGATCTCACTTTAAAAATGATAGTAAGAAGATTGAGTGAGTCCAGAGACGGGCATCAAAAACGATGCAAGTTCTGTGGGACAAAACTTATCAGGTGAGATTGGAGGAACTGAATATGCACAGCCTGGAGGACATGGATAAAAGGGAGGGGGGGGGAGACATGATTGAAACCTTTAAATATATTTAGCTGTGAATGAGGTTATATAAGGAATAATTTTCAATATTAAGCAAAAAACAAGAACCTCAAACTGATAGGAAGGACAAAAGTAATGCTAGAAAATATTATTTCACAGAAACAGTAAGAGAAGCTTGAAACTAACTTCCAGAAGGGGTGGTGGATCTGTAACTGAATTTAAATATTCTTGGAATAAACACATATTTATCATCTGACAAAAATTTAAAAATAAAAACCTCAAAAGGCAGACCACTAGATCTTTTTCTGTCAACAGTTCTCTGCGTCTATCTCAATCTTGTTCAGTAAAATGTGTTCCTCTTCCATAACATCTCTGCAATACAGTCTATCTATAACGGCAGACATTTTAAAATTAACGTCTAGGACCATTGTTCAAAAATATCCTTTAGCATGTGCAATGTTAAAATATATTGATCTGTTCTTATTAGTAAGTCAAATTTAAGTGTTCTTCCTCTATAATTGTACTCTAGTTCCTTCTGGTTCCCTCTAACGTCCAACCTTCAAAGTCTCAGCCTATCTTGTTTTTTTAAAAGAAAATTCAAAACCTAAACATTTTTTCACACGAAGTATTCTGATGATTAATTTCTAAACTCTTATTTCAAGTACATCTAATCAGTTTGTAACTTTCAAAATCAAAGTTCTAATTCCTCATTTGCTGTTTATTCCAAAAGGGAAAAAAAAAATAATTACTGTATTTTTCGGACTATAAGACGCATCGGTGTATAAGATGCACCAGGATTTTGAAGAGGTAAGTAAGGTTTTGCCCTCCCCGGCCCCCAGGAGTACTCTGCAGGCCACCCAAACCCTCTGCATGCCCCATTTTTCGCAAAAGTACGCAGAGGGTTTGGGAGGCCTGCATAGTGCCCCTGGGGGTTGGGGAGGGCAAAAACACCATGCGTGGAGAGTTTGGGAGGCCAAAAATGGGCCCATTTTTTGCAAATATGGGAGTGTTTTTGCCCTCCCTAGCCCACAGGAGCACTCTGCAGGCTTCCCAAAGCCTCTGCGCGCCCTGTTTTTGCAAAAAACAGGCCCGTTTTTCGCAAATTGGGTCGCACGGGGGAGGGCTTTGGGAGGCCAAAAATGACTGTATTTGATGTATAAGACGCACCAATATTTCCACCCTCTTTTAGGGGGGGGGGAAAGTGCACCTTATACTCTGAAAAGTACGGTAAATCCTCAAATGTATATTTAAAACTTCTTTTGCTAAGGATTAAAAGAAACTCACTCATTGCTATAAAACCTGCGAATCCAAAGGTTTCTAACATTTCTGAACATGATTAGAAAAAGAAGTATGCAAACTCAAGTGTTCTTTAGAAGGTACTGACTGTTCAATTCCTTTGTTGTGTATTCCCTCTTCTCCTGGAGCTCTAAATCTTCCTGAGACTGCTCATGCAAAGAGCAACTGTATAGAGCACTTGTGGGCAATCTTAAGACCTCTCCTTGTCTGGAGAAGAATTACAAAGAGACAGACTATTTGCCAGCTTTTCATTCTGCTGTGGTTGTTGTTGGCTCCACTTTCAGTTGAGCCATTTTCATTTTGCCATTTCTTCCCCAGAGATCCTCTGAAACACCTCTTCAAGATGTTAATTTATTATTAGTTATGAAATATACATGCTGCCTAACTCACAGCAATTCTGAATGTTACTGTTCAATTGGCTGTCTACATTATAAATCCCTATTTTGCTTCTGTTGAAACTTCCTGCCCAAATCCATTGTTTACATTTGTAGACATGTCAATCATTAGAGGCACTCTGGCTCTTGTTACCATCCTCTTCACTTTATCAACCAGGTGGAAAACTTCTATGAATCAGAGTAATGCAGCAGGAATAGAATAGGTCTGACATCATTCTCAGTTTCTCCCATTTAGGCATGGTACAAATTAATTATATGAAAAGAAACGAGAAGATGTTTCCTAATTAAAAACTTACATTATGTGGTGTGTTGTTTTTTTTAATCAACTGAGCTGCACCAAATTCAGATTCTAATTCAGACGGATATAATTAGATATATCTGGAGGATACCAGAACAGAAGTAGATCCAGAGAAGGGGGGGGGGACGCTTTGTAAAATACTTAGTCCTGTAGGGCTGGATAACAATAACTGCCTAGCCTCCAGCCAGTCTTCTATCTTAGATCACCAATGGCAAGTGATTAAAATGGAAAAAATACAGGCAAATTACAAACAAAAGCAGTTTGATATCTCTCCCTTACAGAATGCTGCAATGGGAAAGAACAGCTACCCTTTAGCCACTTTAGAAATGTGGAACTACTGAATTTGAAAAATATGCTCTTTTTCTTCCACAAAGCAAGCAATGAAAATGTTTTTCCTCTGCTGAATATGGTTGGAAGCCTGGATAGAAAATGATTTTACAAATGAGGAGAAGGACAGGATATCTAAAGAAGGAACTTGGTTTTTTTTTTAAAAAAAAAAATAGCATGAGTTGAAGAAGCAAATTTTAGGAAAAGAATCTCATGGTAGATTGATTTTTGTACCCAGTAACTGTTGCAGGATTATTGTATGCACAATGATGGGAAAAATTCCCACAATGGAGAAATAATTTGTGAAAATGTCAGAATTTGAAGAAATGGCAAAACCGACCATTTGGTCAGAGAAAAAAACAAAACGTTTTCTGAAAGGCTGACTATCTTATATAGAAATGAATTGATGATTTATGGATTTGAAAATTAAGAAAGATATGGATTAAATGAATGGGCTGAAGGGACTTGTATAACATTTAAGCAGGAGGACGGACAATAAGGTTGTAATTATCTGTTGAATTGTTGGCAGTCATTCATATATGTCTTAACTGTGACTTTTTAAGCACACTGCCTGGGAATGAAATATAGAATAATATGAGATGAAAATGTAGAACTGGAAGGACAACTTACCTTATGATGCAGAAGGTAAAGTAATATTTCCAGGATGATATCTAACTGTTAAATAATTCCCTGACTTTAAACCAGCTCCCTCAACTTGGTATGCTTCAAATCTATTTTTGATATGCTTCAAATATATTAAATTTCATTTAGCATTATTCTTAGCAATATGATGATGATAGGATGTCCAGTATGTTTACACAATACAAGATTGGGGAAAATTGTTTTAGCAGTTCTTATGATTTTTTTCTCTCTCTTTCAATAGAGAATATCAGAAATTTTTTGAAAGAAGTAGTTAAAAAGTAATTGCCCTACCTCTACAACCCTGCACAGCCCTAAAGGCAAACCATATCTATCCCACAGCAATGAGGCATGTAATTAGCCTGCTCTACAACCCAAGACAACCCCAAAGGCAAACCCGTATCCACCCCATTGCAATGGGGCATGTAATTAGTCTACCCAGCTGTCTTCTCATTGTTACCTGGGGGTGCTATTCGGTCCTGATACTTGGGCTGGAATTCGCTGACAGTGAGCAACATGACTTGAATGGTCCCAATGAAGATGCCTGCCAGGCAGCCATAGAAGATCAGGTAGAAGAGGAGGATCTTAACTGTGACAAGACAGAACAAATACTGCTATTAAGGACAAATGGTTAATAGGCCACTAGAATACACACCATCTTTTTAAGATTACCAGCACAGGTCCCATTAAAATCAACATTAAAGCAGTAGTGGAATTCAAATTTTTTTACTGCTGGTTCTGTGGGTATGGTTTGGTGGGCGTGGTGTGGCTTGGTGGGTGTGGCTTGGTGGGCATGGCAGGGGAAGGATACTGTAAAATCCCGATTCCCTCCCCACTCCTGGGGGAAGGATATTGCAAAAACTCCATTCTCACTCCACTTTGGGGCCAGCCAAAAGTGGTATTTGCCGGTTCTCCAAACTACTCAAAATTTCCACTACCAGTTCTCCAGAACCTGCTGAATTTCACTCCTGCATTAAAGCCAATTGCTATGAAGAAAAGATAGCAAATTCAAGCAATGGCACTTACATTTAAAGAGATCAGAACAGAATAATTTTTTAATGTTGTGAGTTACTTCTCATAGAAACTACCATCCTAAATACATTTACTTAGAAAGGCTTGTTGCAGATTGTGGGAATTATAATCCAATACATCTAAAAGTATAATGTTGAGGAAGACAGACTGATATTGTTAGAACCAGAATGATGCATAGCTAAATCTTTGTGTCCTTAAAGGGACTCGGGAGCAGTGGCATTCCCAGCTCCAACATAACTCCTTCTGCTAGCAAACTCAGTGTTAATGGTTTATACTCCAAAACCTTGACCACTGAGAGATAGGGAATATAGACCCTAAACATGGTAACAAGGTGACGTAGCGGTTAGGGTGTTGGACCAAGCATGGAGAGTTCCAGGAAGCTTATTGGGTGACTTTAGGCCAATCATTTTCTTTCAGTCCAACCTACCTCATGGAATAGCTGTAGTGGGAAAACATAGGAGGATAGAGCACTTCTCCACAAAATGCACAATATAAATCAAATAAATGAAGGAATAAGAGACAACTATTGACATTAATCACATTCAACTCACACCCAACTCGCTGTAATAGTTAAATTAAACTCCTTGTTTTCAATTTTTTAAAGTCTCTTTCCCAACATTTATTTGGACTCAAATCCTTTTATGAAGACTCAGTTCTCAACAGCTTCCCCATATTTTGCTTTTTATATAAACTATGAAGAAAGCTATTCCATATTAATCACTCATTTACAATACCAAATTGTAATCAGCCAGATTAATCCCCAAAAACATTGTAACAGAAAACGGGGGGGGGGGGGGGGGGGGGGTTGTTGCTGTTTTTCAAGGAAGAGGAGTAAAACTGTATTTGTAATACCGCTTCAGGGAACTTCAGTTTTTGAAATCTGGTTTTATCAGTTTTTAGTTTACAGGGATTATCTCAACTGATTAGCAGCAGTGTTACATGCTGTACTAAAGCCTCACAGCGCAAACCTACCAGCAATCCAACTCTTGAATATAAAAGGGGCGGTGAAACTACAAATTACATTTTAAAAGCAGCGATCTTTGGAACCAACATTTGTACAGAGCTACTGTAAAAGAGCAGCAATAAGTAACGCATATACAGAAATTTTTCTCTTTTTACAAGCTGGCCAAAGCAAGAGATAAGTCCTATTAAAATAAGGTGTTTTTCCACCAAAGAAGAGAAAAATGAAAGTAATCCAGAGAGACCAGCAGCACAATAGTTTTAGCACTCCTGGGTTTAACACACTCTATAGTAACCAGGCAGCAGTAGGCAAATAACTGTGACGTCAGAGAGATTTGAGCATTTTTTTCCAGAGTACAGTCATAGGAGGTGCTGTTGAAATGAACTAGAGAAAACCTGCTGACAGCAGAGTGCTACGGGTGGCGCATATGGAGGGCAGTGAAGGGACATGTGTTTAGATGACATTCCTAATCAGGATCTTAATAGTAACCCACAACTTCAAGGTCCACTGTCTTCTTGGGGCTACAGAAGAAATCTGTTCTAAAAGGAAAGACGTGGAATTTTTAAAGCAACCGAAGAGTATACTATCTAGTACAGAGATAAGATCCTCCTCTGGTCTAACTATTCTGAAAGCGATATAAGGGATATTTTATTGTCCCCTCAGTAATTGGGCATCGCATGATAATCCAGTCCAGGAATAATAGAACTAGATCAACTTAGTCAGAACTAAACCGTAGCTTGTGATGATGGGAATAATACAGTAATGCAAGCCATTTTTCATCTCCTTTTTATGCGGATTCAAGGATATAAGCATGGAAATTTTGGATATGCCACTTCCAAGATGACATTAGTTAGATTCAACCATGAAATGGCACCCTGGCAACAAATGCAGGTGGAAATAGCTCTCTAACTAGAACCGTTAAACTAACGTGTGGATTATTTTGATATGCACTTAACCTTTTCTTTTTCTTCTCTAAACTCTTATTTCATACAGCCATTCTCATTCATTAGAAACATATATTTTTTTACTCCGTAGAACTATTTGTTTCTTCTGGGTATAGTTGATGTTTCTAATTTGCACAAAAACTTTAGAAGAGATTAGAATGTTCTAGATACTGTACTCTGCAGGATCTACAGAGATACTTAAGTTTCAAACTCCAGCAGTGGTAGGATGAGATTCAAGGGCAACCTATCCTTTCCTTCAAGGACAGTCATATCTAGCATATTACTGTAATGTAAGAGGCCCTGAATGTGCTCTGCACAATCCACTTGAAATTTGTCAGACTTTTTCCCTTGGAAACGACTAGAAAATAAATAGCATTTAGCACTTCTTGGCTGGCACAAAAAGCCTATTTAAAATAAAGCCTGGGAAGCAAGGAAAGACAACAGTGCCTATTCTAAAGTTAATACTGTTTTATAAATTGTCAAAATTGACAGGGGAGTAGGTGGAACTTTTGAATGGTAAGTCTTTGAAAATGACTTTTGTACTTGAGCTGGCTTGTGCAATACAGAGTCAGTGGTGAGCCCATGAATAGGGCCTCACTCCTATTGTGGTGATTGAGGCAAGGATGTCTAAACCAAGCAGCAAATAGAGTGAGTGTAAAGAGGAAGGGTGAGAAATTAAATCGTTTTTGCCTGCGTGTGTTCTGAACCTTCAAGTCCCATTCAGCCTAGGTTTAGTTGCTAAGAGACAACCTTCAAGGACTTTATTATTTCTAAACTTCTTTTGCTTTCCAACCTGACCTTTCTCTCTGTCTCATTTTCCTACCTCTGCAGCTCTTTAGACCTCCCTCTCTCAGGGAAGGTATATGGACAGCCAGCAAGTCAGATTTTCAAGAGATGTGTGTCCATCCAAAGGGTCCTCTCTTAAGCCAATTCAGGATTCTCCTTAATGCAGTTGCTCTGCTTCCCCAGGGATCTTAAACAAGCGTGCCATTACCTCTTTGCTCGGAAGGTATCACCTTGACTAACCTTGAGCTCTGATGCATTATTAACCCTTTGGAGTGGATGGGCTAGAAAACAGTCTGAGCCTTCTCTTTTTTCTATTCCCAATTCCCAAGGATTCTGGTAGCCATTTTAGAGCAGCAAAAGGAAAATACCAGGCCCCTTCGCTGGTATGTCCTTCTCCCTGTGTGGTGTCCTTCCTGAGCAAGGCAAAGGCAGCCGCAGTGGCTGCTATGCTGACAAGGAGTGTAGTGGGAGGAGGGGGAGCAGGGTGCCCCCTCTCTCCTGGCACCTACCCACTCTGCCCTGCCTGCAGTCACGATGCATTCGTGTCTATCAATGCCCTTCAGTATGACCTTTTTGGTGGGGGTGGGGGGGGGAAGGAGGAAAAGAGAAAATGAAAAGAAACGCAGGCTGCTCTTTTAATGCAGAGGCAACAGGCTGCAGCACAGAGATGAAAGTCCACTCTGCAAGGTGACAAAGCAGCCACCCTTCCCGGATCGGAAGGCCCTCCAAGGATACCGAATGTCAGTTCTGATCACCCTGCCCAATCCACCTGGGGATGTTGGCATCACGTCTGGAGGACCCCAGGTTGGGGAAAGCAGAGAGAGGCAATCAGAGTCCCAGGTTTCTCCCAGGAAAGTCTGCCATAGCAACACTACTAAGCTCGTTCCCCAAAAAGAAATCAATCGGATCCGTTTACATGCACAATGCACAAGCAGCAAATGATGGCAGTGTTCACACAACAGTTCGTGTTAACATGTTAAGGGCAGTTAGCGTTAGCCTTGGTTTGGCTGGTTGGGGGGGGGTGGTGGAATTGGCATGTTCCATGAACTCAGCCATTGACTCACACATCTGAAGCTTAAAAATAACCCTCAGCCCTCCTTGGTTTGTCATAGTTCCTGAAAGGTTCTGCCATACTGGAAAGTCTCCCTGGGGTCACAAGACCATTGCTCATCCCTCTCACCTCCCATACAAAGCCTCCTGGACGTTTGATTTTTTTTTCCTCTTTCTTTTCAAAGGTGGGAAGGAGGAGGTCTGGTGTTTATTTTTAAACCGGACAGCACGGGAGATGGGCGGGGAGCGAGGGAAGCGAGCCAAGCCACCCCGAGCAAGAAAAGTGATCCGCAAGATTTACACCACGGCGACGGCATCCCTGCCCTGCCCTGCCAGCCTGGTAAGGAAAGCGGCTGCCGCGAGTCAGGTGCTCCGAGACCGACGATCCACACGGGCACGCGAGACGGAGGACTTTTCCCTCCCACGCCATCCACTAACACCGCGCCTCGAGCCTGCGCGCCCTGTGTTTTAACGGGGCACCAGGAGCAAATCGCGGCTGAGCAGATACTCACACCAACTGCCGCCGGTCCTCCCTAAAAATTCCTTCTTCTCCGAGTTCCAGATGAATTTCTTCCAGTTGCCATCCCCTTCCTTGGCTTTCCCGCGAGCCATGAATCAGGAGCTTCCTTCGTTCGCCTTAGGAAAAAGCTTTCGCGGGTGGGCGGGTGGGAAAGAGGATCTTGCCCTCCGGGATCGCTCGGCGCTCGCCACTAATCCAGAGTACAGATGTTCGCAGCCGCTTGAAGTGCCGGCAGGCGCTCGAGAGGAGGAAAGGCGAAGGTCTTTGTGTGCCGGCTTGAAGCGTCCCACCTTCCGAAAGGCGCCAACCTCTCAATAAATCCTTGTCAGGAGAGAGAGAGAGAGAGATAGACGTAGGCTTGTATCTCGGGTTCACTTAAGAGACGGATGGACGCTCTCCCAAAGCCGGGAAAACAAGGGAAGCGGGTGGCGAGGAGGCAGCAGAGCGGAAAAAGGGAGCAAGCGAGCGTGCCCGTGTGAGAAGAAGCCAAGGGGTGGGAAGAAAGAAACGGGGCTCTGCCCAGGGACAGAAATTAGCTCTGTGCCCTCCCACTCATGCTGGATATATTGTCCACGTCCCGAGGCGAGCTCCGCCTGTCAAATGCCGGTAGCCAATTAGAATTGTGGCCAGGCAGGCGAGGGAGAGAAGCTTGGGAGGCGAGACGAGGGGAGGGGGAAGAGAAGCAGGGTACGAGGCGCGGGAGATTGAGGGGGCCGGGTGATTGGAGGGGCAGATTCTCTGCGGCAGATTTCCTCTCTCTCTCTCTCTCTCTGCCCCCCCCCCACCTTTTCTCTCTCCTCCTTTATTTCTCTTCTCTCCCCCCCCCTTCCCCCTTTCTGCCGGCCTTTCTTCTTCCCGCCTCGGCATGTGCTTCGTGCCACACTGTTGCGCGCAGGCAAAGAAGGCGAAAGAGACGAGGAAAAAAAAATAATCCCCTGCAATTCCTTCTTAGGCCAGAGGGGGAGGCAGCGGGAGTCCTGCGCATAAAGGGGGGGGGGGTGAGTGGGTGACCGGAGGACAGAGTCCGGGAACCGAAGCGAGTTTGATCTCTCCAGATTAACAACTCGAAACGGGAACTCGGCGGCCCCAAAGCGGCGGGCGTGGAGGGGAGTGGAGGCAAAAGGTGGCCGCTTCGGGCAGGCTGCGGGGCTGAGGAGACCAGAAAAGAAGCTTTCATGGAGGCTGAGCCGGTTGGTTAAGAAACTGAACGGCCTGCCTAGAGAGAGGCCGGCGCGCTCCACGCACCTGGGCGCAGCCGGGCAAACAGCTTTGAAGGAGGGGGAAAAAAAAATGGGGAGGGAAAAAGTGCTTCCCCACCCCCACCCCAAAGTAACCGCAAGGAGAACCAGGAAACGCGGCCGGCGAAAACTGCCGGTTTTTTTGCATCCGTGAGGTTTCCTGGTTGTTGCGTTAGGCTGACATTCGTGAACTGCAAAAAGGGCATTAACAAATATTGTGGTGCGGGGAGAGAAAGAGAGAGAGAGTGGTACGCGCGCCTGGCATAATCAGAGGCGGTGTAGCAGTTAAGCTGTGCCCGTAATTGAATCTTCCGTGGCGAGATCGTTTGTCTTAAAAAAAAAAAAAAAAAAAAAGGCTGTAGAGAAAGATAAAGCGAATTGACCTTCAAGTCCGGAGCCAAAAATCCATCCTTTCAAACGTACCTTGCGCCCCGGCCTTTCCACCCATTCTTGTCCTCCCCCCTTCCGAAGGTGGAGCTGTTCTGCTTGCCTGCCTTCCCTGCAACGTCATCCCTGCAGCTTTCTGTCCTGGGAATGCCCTTCCCTGGGTCAACTTGCTACTGCTGCTGCTGCTGCTTGGAGCTACTGTCACCTCTGTTTGCTGCAGAGAGGTCTTTCTCCAGCAGCTATGGAAGCGAAGCCTGCAAGGGGCAGGGAGTTAATGCAAGTCCAGTTCTGGGTTATGGATGCAAGGCAGGTTCTTGAAGGTCTGTTGTCTTTTACTGTAGACCCAAAGTGCTGCCTTGGGAGGAGAACAAACACCGAATCAGGAGGGGAGCTTGGTGGGAGGGAAACATCACTATGGTACCACCTTGGTGAAGGGCAACAGATGTGGCCGACCAGAGAAAAAGATGTTGCTAAAGACTAGGAGAATAACATGCTTTCTTTGTGCAAATCATCTCCTTTTTTTGTATTTGCTATTTGCCCTTTTCACACAGACCCCAGCAGAATGCCTGAAACTTCAGCAAAGGATATGGCGCTAGTTGGCAGTGGGCACACTTCTTACAACTGTTTTTCTAGCTGGAATTCTTCTGGCGCAGCTTGTGTGCTCCTGGTAACATTCTGCTTTACTGACACACACAGAGAAGAGCAGAACAATGCACGTTCTACGCTATGCCAGCATAACCTTTCACTGTGTTTGTATTGGAACACCTGCTAACTTTTCAAGGCAAATGACTGGAAGTGTGGAGAAAATATGGCAATCTGACATATCTGCAAGAAGTGAATGAAACCATAGAAATGATAGGGCGATGGGAAGGAAAGAGTCATACTCAAAAGCTGGATTGACAGGGTATAAATTGAGAACAAGCCTAGGAGGAAGAAATATAGAAGGAAAAGGTATTTCTTCCTTATTTGACCTTGAACAATGTCATAGGCCTCTGCATCAAGATATTTATAGTGGTTTATAGAATGACAATGAAAAAAAGCTGTTCATCTTTACTAATTCTGGTAAAAGCATACCCTTTACTTGGTTTCCCACTGCAGACAAACAAGAATTCTTCATTTCTGTGCTCTTTAGATTTTATCCAGTCACCTTGGATCAGAATTTCCATTTTATTGCAGTGAAGATAGTCCTGCTAAGTAACTGATGGACTTGTCAGGAGCCGGAATTGTAATGATCGTTCTTCATGTGCTATCATGACCGACTTCAAGAGGAGCATGTATTTTCCTCTGTTTAGATTAAAAACAATGCACGTAGCTACTAACATCCATGAGGGTTATTTTTGATTTAGCCAATTCAGAACATCGGTGGAAAAAAAAAAACCTGGTCAGGGAGGGTAAGATAACATTTGCCTCACATCACAGTGAACTTTTTTGTCCCAAGCAGCCTGCCAGTTTTTGAGCAGAATTGAAAGCAATGAACAAATGTAGCACTATTTCTGCTTGCTTGTTAGACCCATATGATAAGTTGCTGGGACAAACCCCATGGGTCAGAAGGTTGTATTCCTTCATGAAGTATCTTGTGAAACCATATATAAACAACCCACTGTACTGCTAGCCTGCCAACTCGTTAACTTTATTACGGGACTCAGAATGTGAATTCTCTGTATGGATTTCTGGCTTTAGACCAGTGATTCCGGGATCGGAAATGAAACTGGAAATTAGAGAAAAGGTTCACCCAATCTGCTAGGTTGGTTAATTTGTGGTTGTGAGTGAATGAGAAATTTTAGCCAGGGGTGTTATTTGCTATGTAAACCAGGCAATTTGATTAATTCATAAATAATGTGATTCAGTTATGGAATGGGAAACATGGTGTTTCTGTGGTGGTTCTCATCTTTTCTCTGTAGCCAGATTGAGTCAGTCTTCATGGAATGGGAGCAGGACTAGTTTACAATTTGGAGATTATCTACTCACAGCTCCTACTGAAAGAGCAGGTGACAGCTATCCCATGGAAGGCCTTTGCAGAAATTCCTCTGCCAATTCCATCCATTAACTGGACTGTGAAGGCCTTAGGACAGTCATGCAGGCTTTGATCAGTGCATGTTTGCACTATTGCAATGCAGACTACATAGAGTTGCCCTTAAAGAAGCTGCAGCTTGTCCAGAATACATCATCACAGGCAATTATGAGCATACTGTGGTATACCTATGTAATCCCATTGCTTCATGAGCTACACTGGTTATCACTTATAAAAAGGACTTATATAAAGTCCTTCCTGTCATGGGGCCAGGTTATTTGTATGACACACTGTCACTCTTCTGTACACTCTGCCCATCCTATACAATTGGGTAGAGTTGACATGCCTTATGTTCCATCAGTTAGAGAATGTCACCTGATGGGATCCAAAAAGCTGATTTTCTTTTGTTGCAGCACTTGCTCCAGAAATGATTTCCCTGCCAGAGATCTATATGGTGCCTGCCATGATCTTATTTAAATGACCCTTTAAACCTGGCTCTTATTCCAGGCCTAGACTGGAGCTGGTGGTGAAAGTCTTGTGGTATGTTTGGTTTGGTAGTGCTGGCATTCTTGTATACTATTCAGAATCAAGATTGAGTTGGCTGTTTTAAAAATTAAACAGGGACATTTTGACATATCATAAACAAAACTAAAAATACAGTCTGCTTTTCTGGTATTCTTGCACTGTACATGACAGCTAAGCATAATGAAATCTAATTGTAAAGTATAATGTCGTTTCAAAACAAAGAAAATACCATGGCAGTAATAAGCATATATCCCCATTGCAGATAAAATACGAAGCATGAAAAACATATGCATATAGTAAATTAAATGCTTGAAAAAATAAGTTTGTTCTCATATGCTGAAGTGCTATCAAAAACGATTCCAAATTTAACTTGGAGCTAAGGATTTATAATTTAAGTATGTAGCCGCTGAGAAGTCCTTTCTTTTCTTCCAACTTGTATGGGTAAAATAGCATATACTGTGTAGTCATGTGAAAAAGTAAGTACACCCTCTTTGAGTTCTATGGTTTTACATATCAGGACATAATAAAATCATCTGGACCTTAACAGTTCTTAAAAGTAGGTAAATACAACCACATATTAACAACAACACATGACATATTACACCCAATCATCACTTATTTTACAAAAAGAAAGCCAAAATGGAGATGCCATGTGTGGAAAAACTAAGTACACCCTATGATTCCTTAGCTTGTAGAACCACCTTTAGCTGCAATAACTTGAAGTAATCATTTTCCGTATGACATTCTCAGTCTCTCACGTTGTTGTGGAGGAATTTGGCCCACAAGGATCAGAGAGCAGGACAAGAAACAATGGTTGGAAACTAATCAAAGAGAGAAGCAACCTGAAATTAAGGAGAAACTTCCTAACAGTGAGGACAATTAACCAGTGGAGCAGCTTGCCTCCAGAAATCATGGGCGCTCCATCACTGGATGTTTCTAAGAAGAGTTTGGACAGTCACTTATCTTAATTGGTATAGGTTCTCCTGCTTGAGCAGGGGGCTGGACTAGAAGATCTCCAAGGTCCCTTCCAGCTTATTCTATTCTATTCTTTACAACATTGTTTTAGTTCATTTGAGGTTATTTCTTTATGCACAGCTCTGTTGAAGTCCCGCCACAGCATTTCAGTTGGGTTGAACTTTGACTGGGCCATTGCAACATCTTGATTCTTCTCTTTCTCAGCCATTCTGTTGTAGATTTGCTGGTGTGCTTGGGATCATTGTTCTATTGCATGACCCAATGTTGGCCAAGCATTAACCATAAGACAGATGTCTTCACATTGACTCTAGAATACTTTGGTATACAGAGGAGTTCATGGTCGATTCAATGACTGCCCTGTGGCTGCAAAACAAGCCCAAATTATCACCCTTCCATCACCGTGTCTAATGGTTGGTATGAGATTTTTGTGCTGCTGATATGCTCTGTTTGGTTTTCACTAAATGTGGCACAGTACATTATGGCAAAACATCTCCACCCTGGTCTTGTCTGTCTAAAGGACAGTGTTCCAAAAGTCATGTGATTTATTCAGATGCAACTAAGCCATGCTGCCATGTTCTTTTTAGAGAGAAGAGACTTTTTTCCTGGAAATCCTTCAAAAAAAAAATAAAACCCATAGTGTTCGGTCTTTTTCTAATTGTACTGTTACGAACTTTTAACATTTAACATGCTGAGGACTGTAGAATCTGAGATTTCTTGGATTTTTTTGCAATTTTTCTGAGCATTGCATAGTCTGACCTTGGAATGAATTTGCTAGGACATTCACTCCTGGAAAGATCAGAACTGTCTTGAATGATTCCACTTGTAAATAATTTTCCTCACTGTAGAATGATGGAATTTAAATTGTTTGGAAATGGCCTTATAACCCTTCCCAGATTGATGGCCAGCAACAATGGCTTCTCTAAGATTATTGCTGAATGAAGGCTTTGGCATTGTGTTAACACACACCTCAATGTTGGAGACCAGCAAACTCCTAAAACTTCGGCTTTTATACAGGTAGTCACACTTGCTGATGATCAATTGATCAAGGTCACTTGATTAGCAGCATCTGGATCAGGGGTGGGTTCTTCTTACCTTTACTACCGGTTCGCAACGGGGCTGCGTGCAGATGCATTTTGATGATGTCGGGGTCAGTGGGCGGAACCTCCTTGGCTCCTCTATAGAACCGGTGTGAACCGGGGGCAACCCACCACTGATCTGGATGCTACGTAGCGTCTTCATACCTATGGAAGCAGTATGGGTATACTTAATTTTTCACTCATGGATTCTTCATCTTTCTTTCTGTAAAATAAATGATGACATAGTGTAATATGTGTTGTTCATCTGTGGTTCTGTTTACCTACTTTTAAGAACTGCTAAGGACGAGCTGATTTTTACTATGTCCTGATACGTAAAACCATAGAACTCAAAGAGGGTGTACTTACTTTTTCACATGACTGTATGCCAATGTTTGCTGCATTAAAATTAATCCTGCTAACTAATATTTCTTGTTGACAATTGATAACTGGCCAGTTTCTTTAAAAGAGAAAAAGCAAACTTCAATGTAATAGGTTTTTCAACTAAAGAACAATAAAAATAAGCGGAAATTGAAACATGCCCTGCTAATCCTTCGTTTATACTGAACAAAAGCTACAGCAAGTGGAACTCCATGCTATAATAGGATTTTTTCCTTCTTTGTGTACCCTTAAAATCTACTCTAGGGACCTTGGGAATCCCCCACAAAGCAGCTCTTTGAATATATGGGTAGTTGTTAAAGATCTGTATTTCTGGACTTTATAAGACCCAAAACATTTTTATTTTTATTTTCCTGTGGCTGGTTGGAAGGGACACTAGCATATATCATTAAGAGCAGGCATTCTCAAACTACGGCCCGTGGGCTGGATACAGCCTACCAATGCAAAGAATCCAGCCCATGGAGTGGTGTGATTAAGCCCCGCCCCTCACAGTGGGCCTTATCTTCCAGTGAGCCAACTAGAAGGCCAACTGAAGGCCAGCTGAGGGGAGATCTCGCAGGTGCAGCCTTGAAAAGCAGCTCTGGGCTTGTAAAATACTACTTTAAATTAAAAGGTTTTTTCACAACCATGTGGACCAGGGCCAGTGTTTGAATAGGAGAGGGGGTGGTGCAGCTCTGGACTTGTAAAGTACTGCTTTAAATTAAAAGTCTTTGAAAACAATTTAAATAGGAGCTTAGGAAGGAGAAAGGCAAAAAAATGGACTGTTAAATTGGCCACGCCCACCCAGTCACATTTATTTATTTATTTATTTATTTATTTATTTATTTATTTATTTATTATATTTCTATACTGCCTTTCTCCCGTAGGACTCAAGGCGGTGTACAGTCAAGAAAAATATAGATACACAAACATCATAAAATTGCTAATTAAAATTATTATTATAACATAGTTTGGCCCAATTAAACATGACCACCTAGCCACGCCCACCCAGTCAGTTCGCCTCCCCCAACAGTCTGAGGGACCGTGAATCAGTCCCCTGTTTAAATAGTTTGAGGACCCTGATCAAGAGTTTGATGGCTTGGTTTGCCTTCCAGATATTACATAAGTAGACCAACAATCAATGTGCCTGGTCCTAAAAGACACATTGGATTCTTATTAAGTTGCATCAAGCAACTGGTTATAATACTATATTTGGGTGAGCAGGCAAAAGAACTGCAGTTTTGAATTCACACTGAAAACAATAGAGCTTTTTTATATGATATATATATAGAAAAGACATTATCTACAATACTGAAGTGAAAAAGAGTCACAAGTACAAATTCTAAATTAAAAGGCATCCTTAGCATCATGTGTAAAAGTTATTTAAACTAGGTTCTGTTATGGCTTTCTGGAAATCGGGGGGTGGGGGGAGGAGGAGGAAGTATGGTAGGTAAAGTGGATCCCCAGTCCTTCTCCAGTTTCCTGCCCCTTTCCTGTGATCTGTCACTTCACAGTCTGGGACCAAAGGAAGACCAATAGTGGGTGAAAAAAGTTTCCAATCTCTTCTTCACTCATTCTGTCTCTACAGCTGGAATTCTACTCTTTGTTTGGCAACTATATTACAATTTGGTAAGAATTCTTACATTTAAAGAGAGATCCACTGGTTGGTTTTTCTCATTCAAGATGGAAACAGCATGAAAGTAGCTAATTGGAAAGAACGGTAGTGCTGGACCTTATTTTCACAGAGACAAGATGATAATATATCATAATAGAGTAATAAAGTAAGTAGTATAGTGGGGTATTGTTGATTGTAAGCACATTCCTAAGGATAGTTATTTTCCACTTCAGCCCAAGAAAAAAATGTCACTGGAGATGAAGAATTGAGAACCTGCAATGGAATAATACAGCCAAATCCCACTTCCCAGTTTTACTTCTCCAATTTCAAAGAATATCAGAATATTTATTCATATTTCTACTTTACTTTTCCATCCATAAGGAATCTACAAGTTCATCTACCAATAACCCCTTTTTAAAAAAAAAAAAACACACATCCTCACAAGGTGTTATAACTAAAAGAAAATATAATTCCACTCTTCAAAAACCTGAAATCTTTTTATATTAGAAGAGATCATTTATTTGTCCTCTGGTCTCCAGAGAATAGGACTCCGTTTAATAGGCCATAAGCCCTGGTGAATATAACAACACAAACGTTAGAAGAAATTTGATAATGATAGTACTATTATCTAATGGTACAGTGAGATCTCTTTTAGTTGAGGTCCAAGCAAAAGTTTGGTGAGTCATTTCTTGGGAATGTTCCAGCACTGTATTTTCTCTATGGACAGGACAGGAAATAGAATTAGCGCAAGGTCATCTCCAACTCTATGATTTTCTGGTTCTATGACTATCTTCCACACACCTCCAAATGTGCATTGAAGCCACATTTCAATATCTCACCTGCATTGTCACCAGACAGGTTGAAATGAACTTTCAATCACTTTAATTTCTAACAAAGTTAAAAGGCTGAGAGAACAGGCAGGGGACACAAGAGAATCAATTTGATTTCCAACTGGCTATTAAAAGAGAGTTCAAATATGATAATGAAATAATGTTTCTTTCCTGAACAATTGCAACTTTGGGAGTGCCTCCATTCCATACATATTACCTTAAAAAGTCTCATTAAAATTAAGTTGGGCTCCTGATAATTTCATAGACATATTCACATAGCTTTTTTTTTTTTGCAACAATATATAAATATTTTTATTATTACCTTCTGGAATTCTTTTTTTAAATTTCCCAGTCTAATCTGCAGTTCTGCTGGGATTTCCTGGTGGCCTCCCATCTGATGGTAAAATAAGTCTGGTCCTATTTAGCTTCTGAAATCAAAAAAGATCAGCATGATATTGCCACACAAAATACAACCACCACCAACAGGAGCAGCAGCACTGAAAGAAAAAATATGCAAGCACCTTCCTCCAATTTCCAGTGTATGTTGTGTGTGTTTTTTGAATCATTTAAAGAAGACTAAAGCAGCTATTATACAGAGAAAAAGAGAGCATCTTGTTGTGATGAAGCTGTTCCTGCTTTTCTGTTAAAAGGCTTTTACTTACTGTGATACTGAAGACATCATTTCTGTAACTAGGCATTTTTCACATTAGTTCCAAACCTGGTTACTGGTTGCTATGTTGATGCTCTGTACTTGGAGTGGAGGAGATGCAGGAAGAGAGCAATGCTTTTCCCAGGTCCAGAGGGTTAAGAAAGATTTTAACATCCTCCTTTAAACAGGGAAAATCAAACTAACTTTTTTTCTTTTTTGAGAGATTATGAAATTGATGAGGAATTCCCTACAAGGATTCATATTGTGCAAGGATTCACTTGATGAGCTTGTCTGTGTTTCTTCCCTGCATCCAGGAGGTTACGTCTGTGATAAACAGAACAAAGTTAATTGAAAATCCAACAAGCTTCGACATTGCAAAAAGGAACATACAAAAAAGTCCAACTTTGCTTTGGTTACAGATAAACTGGTGTTGAAGTCTGAAAAATGTTCATGAGAATAGACACGGATATAGCTGATCTGGGAGCAATGCAGATTGCATATGAAGGATTCCTAGTATCCACTAACACCAATTCTAATAACGACAACCAATTTTAAGCAAGTACTTGGATTCCATTAATGGGAGATGGCAACTAGGGTACCTACTTAAGAATGTAATAGATGATGGGCAATCTTGTTGTGAAGGATTATGCAGATACCTTTGAAGAAGAAATGGATGAAATATTAAGAGAAAAATGCCAGTTGTCCAAGGAAAAGGGAAGGCATAAGAAAGAAATTAAAAATAACCCTACCACGATTCTCTTTGATATAAGAAAGAAACTCTGGCAGGGTTTTAAGATTCCATGATTCATTGATTGACTGATTGATTATATGCTACCAAGTTGTTGTCAGGTTTTAAATGTAAGACAGAAGAGGAATATAAGCTGGGTGAGGAAGGATGTCAAATGTGAAACAAGTTACAAAAAAACAAGCAATGACTTCTGTGCTTCTTTCTAACCCCTAAATAATAGGACTTATCCAAGTCATGTGATGGGGGGAGCAAGTGGCTTAGAATGAAGAAGTTGGCAGCAATTTAAACTGTGTTTCACTATGTTTCACAGAGGAAAGCATTAGGGATTTTTTTTCTTTGCTGACTCCCAACTTGATCAGGTTCATTTGTTTTACTTGCTCTTTCTTTTTTTACAAGTTACTTTCTGTACACCAAATCTGGTCCTGTTCAGTGTCCAGAGAATTTTCCTTCTGACAAGCAGCCAGCCAGAAAAACAGACAGCTAGGCGGGGTCCCAGACCCTTTACAGAATTTCTTTTAGGATTCTACTGAGTGGAAAGAATTAAAAGTAGGTTTATGGGGCAGGTCCCTATGCAAGGATAATTGCAAAGAGCAACAATCTGACTAATAGCTTTTCCATTGGAGAAATAAATAGAAAATGCACGGCAACTCTCTCTCTCTCTCATACACATACATGCATGCACATGGATACACAGAAACATACACTCAGTCTAGATCAGGGTTGAGTCTTGCATTTTTATTTTATTTATTTATGAAACCAAAGTACAACGAAACCTAGCATGAATACAGATAGTCCTTGACTTACAACAGTTCATTTAGTGACCATTCAAAGTTACAATAGCACTGAAAAAAGTGACATATGACCTTTTTCACACTTATGACCATTGCAGCAAGCCCATGGTCACATGATTTACATTTGAATGCTTGACAACCGACTCACGTTTATGACGGTTGCAATGTCCCCGAGTCATGTGATACCCTTTTGCGACCTTCTGACAAGCAAAGTCAATGGGGAAACCAGATTCACTTAACAACCGTATTACTAATTTAACAACTGCAGTGATTCACTTAACAAATGTGGCAAGAAAAATTGTAAAATGGGACAAAACTCACTTAACAAATTTCTCTCTTAGCAACATAAATTCTGGACTCTGTTGTTGTCATCGTAAGTCGAGGACTACCTGTAAGTCATACAGCATGATTTGACCCATGTTGGACCTGAATAGCATTAGGCAACTTGCTGCCTTCCAGTTGTTTTTAATTAAAACCCCCACAATCCTTTACCATTAACTGGAGCTACTAGGAACTTCGGGAGGGCATCAAGTTGCTTTCCCCTGAATTAGAAGTAGGGCTATTTAAGTTCAAAGAGACTTATCTCTGAATGACATAACTTAATTTGTTTAACCATGCTTTGTTGACAAAGCCCAAATTGGCTGGATTATGCAATATGACAAGGCAAAACCAAATTAACCACATCATGGTTGAAACCAATCCATGAACTCAAGCAATTTATGTTCAGATGATTTTCTTTGGCCCTACAATGGGACTTAACATGGCATGTATGTGGCATAATCTATGGCTAGAGAGCACAGCTACTTTGCTGAAATTAATTAGATTGAGATTGATCTGGACTCTGGAATTCTTATTCATATTAGCTTGAATTCTATGACAGAAAGACAAGGTATACTTAAAATGCATTAAGAAAATGTCAACTTTCTTTTATTGGCAGAGAGATGCGGTGGTAGAAAATATTTCACAAGTTGCTGTCTATCCATTTGCAAGTACAGTATGAAAAGCTTAGAAGCATTGTCAGGGGAAAAAAAAACCCTGGCACTGATTTAAATAACTATCCAAAGAATTGTGGCTTTGTTCTAAGGTCATTTCAGGAGATCAGTCATTTGAGGCCCTCCCCGTTCCCAGACATTAAAACTTGGTAATATATACAGTAGGGGTAAAATTTTCATAAATGTCATAATTTTTACAAATTGACAAAGATACCGTACTTCTTTCACAAGTGGTGCTGTGCAGAAAGACTGCAGCTTTCAGCTTTAGCTGAACAATTACCTTCCATTCCTTTCATGGTATGTGAGTGGGTGAATGAATGTGGAATCTAAAAGGGGAAATTTAATGGCTGCGATGAAGATGAAAATGTATAGATTATACCCCACAGAATGGAATGGAATGGAATGGAATGGAATGGAATGGAATGGAATGGAATGGAATAGAATAGAATAGAATAGAATAGAATAGAATAGAATAGAATAGAATAGAATAGAATAGAATAGAATAGAATTTTATTGGGCAAGTGTGATTGGACACACAAGGAATTTGTCTTGGTGCATATGTTCTCAGTTTACATAAAAGAAAAGATATGTTCATCAAGAATCACAAGGTACAACACTTAATGATAGTCATAGGGTACAAATAAGCAATCAAATGGTTGAGGAATCTTTTTATTCCCTTTATAATATTATTATTTTTTTAAAAAAATCATTGGGAAATGCAATAGATTTTTAAATTACAGGTGCAGGTGACTAAGAAAAAGGACTCTGATCCCTGGGAAGGACAAGCAGCTATTAGCCATGCCCTGAATGGAAGAAACTGTGACGTGTAACTTTCCTGTCACAGGGTGTGTGGATGGGGACATGCAAGGTAAGCTGTACAGTAATAGACACGTAAATCAAAGCCGGGCAATATACCAAGAATCACTTTTTTTCACTAGCACTTGTTCTTTTGAATTGTGAAATACCGGCTAGGATGCTTGCAGATCAATTGTGGAAAATGCTGTCCATGTGCACAACCAATTGGACAAAATATTTTCACATTTTTCATTAGAGACAGCTTGTCCATGGATCACAGCAATGTTGAGATCAGTAAACGGCCTATTCTCATACTGGTGCTAAATCATAATTCTGCTTGCTTGATTTCAACTTAATATACGATGTGAATCTAGGCATGGCATGTTTTGTTTTTAAAGTATGGACTACAGTTTAACAGATTGTGCAAATCCAGGCAGTCATGTGCTTTGTTCAATAAGCTGTGGTTAAACAACTTATGACTTAGTGAGGGGTTCTCAATTTTTTTCAGGTCACTGAAGCAGTTATTATCAAGAGGCGAAGTTGTAAAAGTTGCCTGTATTGGAGTGAACATTTTCTTTGCAGTAATCTCACAGAACAGAACCCCATCAAATTCTTGCAGAATAGTTTGAGGAAACCTGTCTTAATACAAAGTGTGATTTGACTACTGACAATAGAATTGGATTATACACCCAACATATCATTTATTTAAAATGTTCTTCTGTACTACTCTTAACAATTACACTCAAAAGAAGCAAGACATATAATTAAATATGCAGTAGCAGAGAAGAAGTTGAACAAAATATCCCATAGCAGAGAAACAAACATTAAATCACATTAAAGGTCTATCTAGAGGGGGTGTGTCAAATTCGCATTGTCACGGCACCATCACGTGACGTATTGGGATTTTTTTCCCCACTTCGCTAAATGGGTGTGGGCGTGGCCAGTGTGTGACGCATCTGGCCCATGGGCCATGAATTTGACAGCCCTGATCTAGAGGAATAAAGCAATAACTCCTGGCAGCACAGGGAAATCTTAAAAGATAGGGATTTCTCAATGAGAAGAGTTCCATAATCCTGAGGTTGCACTAGCCAATTTACAAAGGAGATTAAAATATCCTATTTTCCATAATAGACAACTAAATCATCCATGAAGATCACATGCAAAACAGACTGCTACTAGGGTTGTCCGATTTTGATTTAATATTCATATAATTTGGAAATATAAGACATACAATCAATGTGATGTTGAACTATATACTGACAACTTGAAATTATTGATTTTTGAAGAATTTTGGAATTATCAGTGCTAAAGTCAGCACTATCTGCAGCAAACCTCTATGATGCCAGAATGATGCCATTAATACAATGGCATAAGACATGCAAAAGCCACTGTTATATATTTGTCTCGTAGCATCTGATGCACGTGTCACCATCTGTCCTCCATTATGGATGCATGGAATGTGGTTAAAAAGGTTGTTCTGCCTCAGTAGAAATAAATTGTTGTTTCACATTTAAAATCCTGGATGGAATTCTTGTTTTCATTCTTTGCCTACAAACTTATATTTTGCCAGTATAATGAAAAACCAGAATGAAAATTTTCATTATCCAATTGTTTCACTTGTTATCTACAATTCAGTTGCTGTTGTGTCCTACTCATCTTCTTCTTATTTTAATATTCTGTTTTATATTTTATAGTAATGTTTCTCATCTCTTATTCTATACATCATTGTAATATACTAACAATATTAAGAGCTCTTAGGCCCTTGGTTAGGACTAGAACTGTTAAGTTTTTAGCAGTCCCAAACTCTAAATCGAATTGAAGATTAAATCAACAACAACAACAACAACCACCACCACCACCACCACTGCCTATGGCCATGATGGCGAATCTATGGCACACGTTCCAGAGGTGGCACGCAGTGCCCTCTCTGATGGCACACGAACCGTCACCCCAGTTCAGCTCTGCTGCGCATGCACACACGCCTCACATCAGCCAGCTGGTCTTCGGGTCTCTACCGTGCATACATGGGGGGGCGGGGCGTGTGGGGGGGCATACGTGTATGCGTGGGGGGCAGGGCTCATGCAGGGGGCCATGTACACATGCACCTGGGGTGGGGCACATTTATGGGGCCCGCGTATGCTTTGCGCACTCAGTCCGGAAAAGGTTAGCCATCACTGGCCTATGGTGTTCAAGTGCACTCCAGTTGTTTTGGGATTACACCTAAGGTAGTAACAGATAATCTTAAGTAAAATCCCAAAAGTTGGTGCACCAATTGAACACTGATAAAACATTGATAAAAAGCAGTCAATTGCAAAATGAAGTTTTACTCAGAACAGTTTATATTCTGTGACAGTACCTTTAATACCATCTAAGAAAAAACATCTTCCTATCCCAAGTTCTTGAGAAGGATTTACCAGGTAATAGGTGGATAAAAATGCCAAATCCAGTCTAAACAACTGACTGACTATGCAATAAACCAAAATAATACTAGTAATACTTTTATTCAAAAAGTTTACGTTACACCTATTCTTTGTTGATCTTTAGAGAAATACTGATTCTGACTATGAAAATACTGATTTTGATTATGGAAATATCATCAAGAACATTTTCTCTGCTATTTGTCTCCATACTATTTAATGCTTCTTTAAGGTTGGAATCTGCCAAAGTATGCCATGTTTTATTGCCAGATAAACTTTATTAAAGTTTTGTTGTTGTTGTTGTTGTGTTACTATTATTATTATTATTATCTCTTTTATTCATTAAACATGAAACTCAGTCAACTGAACATTTAAAAATGTGTCACAAATACGATTGACTGGTGATTATTATTATTATTATTATTGTTGTTGTTGTTGTTGTTGTTGTTGTTGGTTAATCTTTAGTGAGATTCACAGCCTTTGAAGCTAGTTAATAGCTCAGCAGCTCGAGTCCTAACCAAGGACCTAGGAATTGTTAAGGTATCGTCGGAAAGTATAAGCTGTTCCGAGTAAGGTGATTTTTTGTAGAGTCAAAATGTTCACGTCCGGTAAATTTAGAATTTCTAAATAGCGGGGTAGCCCTTTGGGTATTGCTCCAAGGGCTCCAATTACAATCGGGACAACACACGATTTCTTTTTCCACAGTCGCTCAACTTTAATTTGCAAGTCCCGGTACTTTGTGATTTTTTCTTGCTGCTTATCTTCAATCTGTGCATCGCCAGGTATTGCAATGTCACTGAACCATACTTTTTGATTATGATTATGATTATGATTATTATGATTATGATTATGATTATTATTATTATTGGTAATCATCATCACACAGTCAGCCAGATATTCAGGCTGGGTTTGGCATTTTTGTCTACCTATTGAGTCCTTACCAAGGACCTAGTATAGGCAGATCTGGATATTTGATGATGTTACAGATATAGGATGGAAGTGTTCCAAGTAAAGCTGCCTTCTGCAATTTACTGATGGCAAATTTGTCAATGCCAGTGGTGTTCAAGTGGTGCTCTGGTTGTTTGGGGTTGCACCCAAGGTGCTTCTACTTCTGCTTTTTTCCTCCTCCTCCTCCTCCTCCTCCTCCTCCTCCTCCTCCTCCTCCTCCTGGTAAAAACATGTAGGATTGATGGTGAAGTATTTTCTCTGAATAAGAGATTAATGAAAAAGTAGATTTTGGAGGGCTTTAGGTTAACAATAACTTTAAATAATAACAACAACAACAAAATGCCCTGGAAATGCAAATCTTTGTGATATCTGTGTTTCTTTCTGCCATTCATCTTATGAAAGAAGTTTGGCAAGGCTAATATAGAACTCAGTGAGGATGTCCAAGTCATTAATATAATTAATGCCAAACAGTGTGGTTTCATTGTGTTTTGTTTTGTTTTGTTTTTCTGCTCCTGGGAAAGAAGGCTTGTCAAACAATCTTTGACATGTTTATAGCTGGAATGAGATATTTGCTTAGAACTTGATTACTCTGGCCTGCAAGAAACCATAGCTAGGCAAAGAAATAAAGCTGCCGTCTCAGAGCATCTCTTGAAAATGGCTCTTATGTTGATATAAAACTCTCTCCCTCTGCTGGCAGCTGGAGGGCGGACTGAATACTGCCTGGAAGTAAAGGGCTGCCCGTTGCAGTTGCTTGAAGAGGCGTGCAGCAGCTTTCTCAAACATTCCCAAGTATGTTGGGCCTGCAATTCCCGGATTTCCCCAATAGGATGTTGGCTAGGATTCTAGGTGTTGCTGTATTGGAATAACTGGAACATGAATGGGTGAACCTGTCAACTAATTTATTTATTTATTATACAATGCATATGGTCACCTATCTAATACAAATATAGTTGAAAGCATATCCTTCCCCCCATGTGCCAAACAGTCTCATAGCTCACTCCCCCCCTCCCCATCCTTGCCCAATGCTTTGGGGAAGAGCCAAATCTTCACAGCCCTTTGGAAAACTAAAAAGGTAAGGATTCCCTTGAACTCCAGTGACAGGCTGTTCCAAAGGGCTGTAGGGCCAGCAAGAAGGGATGCCTCCAAGGTCCTATTGGATGGTAAAAATTAGTTAGATGGGTGGACAGGCAGTCTCCCAACTTCAGTTTTACCTGTTTCTTGTATTTATGACTATGTTAATATTTGAGTCTTGAGATTTTGTGGCAGTTTGTATAATGCACATATATCAGGTACCATATATTGTACCGTAAATGTTTCTTTGTCATTTTACTTAAGGCTAACATTTTAATATACATTTTCTCCCTTTAGATCATTTTGGTACTTTGTTTTCATGAACATGTACCATTTTGCATATATTGGCAAACTGCAAATTGGAGAACCACAGTCAATTATTGGTTGATATTTTTGCTCAAAGTCTTAAATTATATAAATTTGCATTCCAGGCACTGTGGCCTAGTGGTTATAGTGTTGACAAGCAGTGAGGGGACCCACATTCAAATGTGCCCTTAGTTATGGAAGTTCACTGGTTGATTTTGGGCTACTTGTGTTCTTTTTGCACCATCTACTTCCCAGAGTTTTTGTTGTAGAGAAAAATAACATAATTTTGTGTTAATTGAATGTAATGTATTATTTAAATCAAAGCACGTGTTACATTAAGATCTGGATCCCCACAGTGGTACCACAAATACCTGTTTTGGAGCCTATTAGCCTGCTTTCTCACCTGATTTGATTAAAGAAAATATTTTAACTTTAAAAAATTAAATGGTAAGTTTAACGTGCTGGAAAAAAAATGTGAGTCCCACTCAAAATCTTGTTTTATGAGAAGGTTTCTTGGGCTTTGGAGAATTCATAGCAAATAAAAAATGATAGGTAGCTGTAACCTAATGCCTCATCTGCAGGTTGATCACCTTCTGCCTCAATACAAAGACTGAGGTAAACTGAGATAGCAGGAACATCTGCTGTTCAGGGAGGGTGAAGGGATGCAGTCGCACCTGTTTTTTTTTCTGGTAAATCAGTGTTTTATGGCTGGTCATGCCCACATGGGGGTAATTTCTGTGAGAATGTTCATCCCATATCATGTAAGCAAGTTTATACAACCCAAAATGTTTTGAACTGCTGGGTTTAAGTGCTATAAATTATACATGTGTGTCAAGATGTAAATAAGTTGATAATGTGTACGGATACATGCTCTGCAATTCCTATGTAGAAGTTAACAAGTTACTTCTGCTGTTGTGAATATGATGAGTTTTTTGATAGTGCTTAGTTTTTTCTACTTTAATATTTCATTTGGATTTGGAACGTTTTTATTTTTAAAAGCAGGCAAGACTTATGTGACTTTGTAATGTCACATTAGCAGACTACACCATGACAACTAGATTTTAAAAAGAAGGTGTTCTGGTTTTGCCTATAATATAACTCAGTTGGCTATATGCCCATTTTTTCTTGTCTTTTTCTTTGTCGAGGCAGACACCACTGTATAAACAAATGTGCTGCCGCCTAGTTAGATCAGCTTTGCACAGAATGTCTGCAGAAGATATAAACAAAAAACAAAAGAAGGTGAAAAGCCATTCTACTTTATACCATGTCATCTTTACATATTAAATCCCTTATGAATGGGGAGTCAACCCTAAAGACAAGCAGTTCAATCCACCTGTATTACTTGGGACCTTGATCTAAAATCACTTTATCTGCCTGTTTATCAGACTTTGAAGTCTGGACTTTTTACTGCCTATAAGACAGTTAAAGCAATAAGCAGGCGTGTTAAGCATAAGATAATTAATGGGTCCAATGGAGTTCTAGGAGCAATGGCCTTAGCAATAGAAGAACCCTCTCTTTTCTGTACCGTAAATTCTTAACTAGGGTACATAGACTTGTAGTTAAACAGACTGAAAGAAGAAAGCAAAATATGTAATTTATGACAATTGTCCTCAATTTCTATTATGTACATTTAGTAATGTTTAATTTTTTGATACCATATTGGCCATCCAGAGTTACTGTTGTGACACAAACAGCAGTGGTGGGTTCCTCCCGGTTCCGCCTGGTTCCACCGAGCCAGTAGCGGTGACAATATGACGTCACTGAAATGGTTCGGGGGGGCTGCCCCCCCGCC